CCAAAAAAAATAATTTTTAAAAAAAAAAAAAAAAAAAAAAAAACTCCAAACTGGAAACAACCAAAATGTTTACTAAGAGTGGAACAAATAAATAAATAGTGAATAATACACTAGAACACAATAATGCAAATGAAATTTTACAGTATAGTTACTCCCTATGCCTCAAAACTCAATAGGCCATCTTTATTTTAATTTAGAAGATAATTTCCTTCTCACTTTTGTTTTAAAATCAGCTTGGTATATATGGGAACATATATATAATTCCTATTGTCTACTACACTGGACTTATAACAAAGACACAAAGGTTAGAAGGTCTAATTCCGCTTCATATCACAAGTCAGGAACACAAGAGCCTTGATTAGCAATTCAGAGCTCTGTAACTATTAATGATTATTAATGATGCAATTCTCCTACTAAGGAAGGGTTCAAGACCAAATGCTCTATGTTCTGGGAGAACGCGGTGGTGTGTCACTCACCTTCCCCTTTAGAAGGTCCGACACGTCAGAGTGGTTACACAGCTTCTGCTGCAGGGGCTGCCTGTGCTTTACCCACTGGTCACCCGGGGAGCCTTCGGGGAACAGCTGCTGGCTATGGCGGAACTTGGTTCGACTGAGTTAAAAATAAAATCAGATGGGAAAAGGTTCATAGTTCTTTCAATACCTTGATCACTTAACTTACAGGCTACCTACTTCACTCTTTCGTTTATCTTTTACTCTGAATTTACTTTAGTCCACATGCATTTGCCAGAGAGCAAGGAGGCTGGGGAGAGTGAGAAAGTACCCCAGCAACCCTTCTCCTTCTCTCGGGATTTTGGACACTCATGTACACGTGCCCAGCATGTTTGCTTTTGGTTTTTTAAAGAATTATTCTATTTAACTTTATTTATTTATTTACTTATTTTAATTTGATCAGAGAGGGACAGAGTGAGAGAGAGAGAGAGCAAGAGAGAGAAAATAAGCCACCAGTCTGGGACTTGAACTGTAGGTGGCCATGTGGGAGCCCAGCGCCCTTAACCACCATGCCTCCTGCCAGCCTCACCCGGCATGTTTTTCAAGCTGCCAGGTCTGGGACTCACACCATGTAGTCAGCTAGTGGGACCCAGCCATTTTAACCACCACACCACTTGGTAGCCCCACAGTTTACTTTATTATTGTCTATCTCCCCTCACTGGAATCTCAGCTCCATGAAGGCAGGGATCCTTGTCTATTCCGTCTATCTCCTTTATCCCTAGCATCTACATCTAGAAAAATACCAAGAAGTCAATAAATACTTAGTAAATAAAACAGTAATCTACTTTTTAATTACTTAGTTTTATTTATTATTATTCAGTTTGTGATAGGGCATATGCGCTTACCAGAGACACACACACAGAGGGAGGAAGGGAGGGAGGGAAGGAAGGAAGGAAAGTGAGAAAGCAAGCCACTAGGTCCGGGACTCGAACTGCAGTTGACCATGTGAGAATCCAGTGCCTTAACCACCACACCACCTGCTGGCCCCAATAATCTATTATTTTCAATCCCACTTTCCCAAACTATCCAAACTATCTCCTACTATAATCATACACTTAAAAATAAACAGCAAGCCCAAGTCTTCACAGTAATCTCATACCAGCACCTCTTATCTCCCCTATGCAAAAAACTTGCCACAGTATATCCCCACCAACTGTCTCCAGAAATCCAGCTATCTCTAAAGCAGAATATCAGAAGAGAATTAACAGTGTTACACACAAGCACTCATGGTTTTCTTTTCTCGGTGTTCTACTGACCTAAAAACTTGGTATTCTCTTGAGTGTACTAGTTTAAAACATACCTGAAGCTCTTGTCCAACTCCAGTGAACCATTTTCATCTCACCAAAACACCCTCCTAAAAAGTCATCAGTTACCCGTAAGACCAGGAACACAGTAGAGCCTACAAAAGAAATCCTACACATCTGCAAACTTTAGAAGCTAATGCAACTATATTAAAAACTATTGGGGCCAACAGGTGGCCTGGTAGTTAAGGCACTGGACTCCCACACGGCTGACCACAGTTTGAGTCCCAGACCTGGCTGCTTGCAAATAAAACAGTAATCTACTTTTTAATTACTTAGTTTTATTTATTATTATTCAGTTTGTGATAGGGCATATGCGCTTACCAGAGACACACACACAGAGGGAGGAAGGGAGGGAGGGAAGGAAGGAAGGAAAGTGAGAAAGCAAGCCACTAGGTCCGGGACTCGAACTGCAGTTGACCATGTGAGAATCCAGTGCCTTAACCACCACACCACCTGCTGGCCCCAATAATCTATTATTTTCAATCCCACTTTCCCAAACTATCCAAACTATCTCCTACTATAATCATACACTTAAAAATAAACAGCAAGCCCAAGTCTTCACAGTAATCTCATACCAGCACCTCTTATCTCCCCTATGCAAAAAACTTGCCACAGTATATCCCCACCAACTGTCTCCAGAAATCCAGCTATCTCTAAAGCAGAATATCAGAAGAGAATTAACAGTGTTACACACAAGCACTCATGGTTTTCTTTTCTCGGTGTTCTACTGACCTAAAAACTTGGTATTCTCTTGAGTGTACTAGTTTAAAACATACCTGAAGCTCTTGTCCAACTCCAGTGAACCATTTTCATCTCACCAAAACACCCTCCTAAAAAGTCATCAGTTACCCGTAAGACCAGGAACACAGTAGAGCCTACAAAAGAAATCCTACACATCTGCAAACTTTAGAAGCTAATGCAACTATATTAAAAACTATTGGGGCCAACAGGTGGCCTGGTAGTTAAGGCACTGGACTCCCACACGGCTGACCACAGTTTGAGTCCCAGACCTGGCTGCTTGCTTTCTTACTTTCCCTCTCTCTCTGGTGAGTATAGTACCGTATAGCAAATTAAAAATAATAAAAAAATTAAATAATTATTTTTTAAAAAACTGTTAGTCAGAATTCCATGAATGTACTACTTTACCTCAACTTTTCCACAGTGGGTTTAGCCGGTGTGTTTCCAGCTGAAGAAAATCCATTGTCACTGTCTGAGGAGTCTCCAAATCTCCGAGAAAGCCAGTCCCTTAATGGTCTATGGAAACATTAAGAACTCACTTTCACAATATGGCTGTAACAGAAGCTCACTACAAGAATTGTGGGCATTAGTTTTTGTATTTCAAGAAATATGAATATACCTGATAAAGGGAATAGCCATAAAAAATTTATTAGGTGCCAAACCGAGTTTGGATTTTGGGGTCATATCATTTCTATGACAGGGCAATTTCTCAATGGAGAACCACTCAATGTTCTGAAACACAAAAGGTAATGATTAGTTAATTATCATCAAGGACTTTTTATTTATTTGTTTTTTATAATTTATAAGCACATGCACTCACCAAAGAGATTCAGAGGAAGAGTGGGTTAAAGTGAGAAAGCACCCCCAGGGAGTGCTCTAGGATCTGGGGCAAGCACACACTCGTGCCCAGTGTGTCTGTTAAGTCGCCAGGTCCAGGATTTGAGCTGTGTAGTAGGCTACGTGGAAGCCACAGGGCTGACCACAACACCACAGGCTGGCCCAATCAAGGAGTTTCTAAAAGGAGACTACTATTACATACCCGAATTTCTCTTCTGGTTTTTGGGTTAAATTTTGTGTCTTTTGGAATTCCTGGAATGATGTACAAACGAGCAAGCTGGTCATTGATTCGAAGTTCAATGTAATCATCCTTACAAATGTAGTCTTTGATGTCGAAGCCAGTTTCTTCAAAGACCTAAAAATAACAAATGTGGGTAAAGTTTTCTATTTCAGCTGCCAGACCTCCAATCCATTATTTGCATTATCTCAAAGATAAAAATTCAGAAATACAGGTAATTAAAGATGTGAAAACACAAGCAGAAAGTCACATTTCAGGGTCTAGTTCTGCCTCTAAAGAACTATCAGAATAAGGGGAGGGGAACTCTACTGAACTACGAAAAAACCTCTCTCTGTATATGTAAGCCTAAGTTTCTTCATGTATGTTAAGCCCGAGGCCTGGGCAGCTTGGTTGTGGGGGTTGGATCCCACACTACAATCGGCTGATACAACCCGGATCTAGTCTATCATCAGAACTGCACTGCACTCAGATCTAACCTGGATGTAGCACATGCGCCCTACTCTGTACATGGCGCCCCACTCTGCGCACGGTGCCCCACTCTGCGCATGGTGCCCCACTCTGCACACGCACTCCACACACGGCACCCTGCTCCGCACATGGTGCCCCCCTCCGCACACGGCGCCCCGCTATGCACACGCGCCCCGCTATGCACACTGCACTCTACTCTGCACACGGCGCCCTACTCTGCACACGCGCCCTACTCTGCACACGTGCCCTACTCTGCACACGTGCCCTACTCTGCACATGGTGCTCTACTCTGCACATGCGCCCTACTCTGCACACGTGCCCTACTCTGCATACGTGCCCTACTCTGCACACGTGCCCTACTCTGCACATGGTGCTCTACTCTGCACATGCGCCCTACCTACCCTGCACACGGGGCTCTATCCTGCACACAGAGCTACTCTGCACACACAGCTCTACCCTGCACACGCACTCTACCCTGCACACAGAGCTCTACTCTGCACACACGCTCTACTCTGCACACGCGCTCTACTCTGCACACGCGCTCTACGCTGCACACGCCGCTCTACTCTGCACACGCCGCTCTACTCTGCACACGCCACTCTACTCTGCACACAGCCCTCTACTCTGCACACGCTCTACTCTGCACACGCGATCTACTCTGCACACATCACCAGACCTTATGTGGCACACGAGTCTGCTCTACCCCTAAACCTTTACCATATATGGACTGTTTCTACCTCTAAGACACTCCCCCTCCCTATACCCTTATTAAAAAACGCCAAACCCCACCCCAGTACACAACTTCTCTGGCCCCCTCTCTCTTTCTCTGTAGGACCAGCGAACCTTGCCCAGGAGTGCTCCAATAAAGGCTCTACATTTCTATTTTCTTGTGTGGTCGACCCATTCCTTACAATATGTATATATATTTTTTTTATTTGCCAGAGGGTAAGTGCACTCTTTCAGAGAAAGAGAAGAGAGAGGGGCAGAGAAAGAAACCATCCCCCAGAGAAGCATAATCACACCACTATTTCTTCTCTATTTCTTCACCATGTCAGGCTTTTGGGCACATACACACCCATGCCTGATTGTTTTTCAAGCTACAAGGGCCAGGATTCAAACCATGCAGTCACCCATGTGGGAACCAGCTGCCTTAACCACCAGGCCACAGAGCTGACACTGCACAATATTAAATGAAGGTCAGTGTTAGGACACATTAGTGGTTCTCGATCTATGGGAATTATATCACTAGAGACCACGTATGGTTTTGGTTTGGATCCTCAAATCTCTAATGCATAGCAAAGTCATCAAAGTTAAATAAGCCTCACACATACACTACTCATTCTCAAAGATGCAAAAACTGAGCTGATTATATTCACCAAATGAACAGGTTCCAAAGCACAGCTACAACCATGCTCTGTGCATGCGTACACTGGGGGAGGGTCATAAATGCAGAGAAGTGAAAACCAGGGAGCTGCTCATGGCTCTTAAACTGCTCACTCCTGGGAGTGCCTCAGGGCTGGAGGGCAGAGAAGAGGAGGGAATGAAAGAATAGCAATCTCAGCTAGCTCTCACCTTCCCTCCAACCAGAGAAGCCTTGCTTAATCTGATCAATACACTGGATCTGTTTAAAACTGAAATACCTCACTGACTTCTTCCAGCCTTACAATTCTCTTACTAATAACACCTTCTTTATTCTTCTCACAAAATTGTACCCCGCTTCACCTCCAGAATCTAAAAGGCTTTGCATTTTGGTGGCTCTCTGGTGACAGGGTTCCTCCCCTCCATCTAGCTAAGCACAAAGCCAGGCCCACGCTCACAATGCACAGTGAGGAGGAGCCCGAGCCTCCTTCTTGGTCTCCCCCTTCTCTGGTCAGCGTGTCATGTGCAAGCCCCACTTTTCTCAGTCAGGGAGCCTGGGCACACTCTGCTTGGGCACGTGTGTTCAGCCACTTCCAGTTTAAGGTCCTCTGTGACAACTAAGTAATTTTATCACCATTTCTGTATGCTCTTAAGCATGAGAGAGCTTCTGGTTCCAAATTTTAAGAACTAGGTGAATATGTTAACTTGAAAATTGTTCCATGAGACACAGAAAAAAAGAGACGTTATTTGTATCCACTACTCCCAGAAGTGACAGAGGTGCATGTGTAATATTTAAAACAAGAAAGTTCTTGTGTCCTGTTTCTCTACATCCACAACTGGTGGTGTAGGCGTGCACAGAAACTGTCCACTGTAGAGGTGACCACTCATATTCCAACGCCTCAATACCACACATCTTCCCCATAACAAAATTCTGAGGGCTCCCTGACCGAGGTCTCGGCTTCTCATTTCTCCATCTTAGCATTTACACGCCTGAGTGTTAGAGACCATTAGGCACGTGAATTTACCCAGTAAGTCACACGTGCTATCGGAGCAGAAGTCCAGATGCTCTGGTTCGCCTTTTCTTTGATGCTAAGGCCCAATCTACTGCCCGAAACAGAGCTTAACAACATTTCTGATCAGGGCCAACAGGTGGCCAGGTGGTTCAGGAGCTGGACTCCCGCAAGGCCAACTGTGGTTTGAGTCCAGGACCTGGCAGCTTGAAAATCATGCCAGGAGCGTGTGCATGTATGCCTAAAATCACGAGAAGAGAATGGAGAAGGGACTGCAGCATGGCCATCTTCCCTAGGGGGTGATTTATCACTTTCTCTCTCACTGTCTCTCAGTCTCTCTCCAGCAGAGTGCACTGACTCTATGACAAAAACCTTAAGAGAAAAAAAGTTTTTGATCAATAAATCAATTGAAAGGTTATATCTGTAACAACGAAGACAAATTTGTAACTATTAAGACTGGTTACAGGGCCAGCAGATAACGTAGTATTTAAGGCACTGGACTCCCAAATGGCCAGCTGCGGTTGGAGCCCCAGACCCACTGGCCTAAAGCTCATGCCAGGCACATGTGCAAGCATGCCCAAAATCCCAAGAAGAGAACAGAGGAGGACTGCAGCATAGTCATTCTCCCTGAGGGGTGCTCTCTTGCTTCCTGTCTCTCTCTGTCTCTGATGACCACACATGCACTACAGCAAATCTCTCTCAAAACAAAGACTGTTTCAGGGACCCAGCAGTTAGCGTAATGGCTATGTCGCTGGACTCCCACGTAGTAGACCGCGGTTCGTGTCCCGGACCCGGTGGCTTAAAACTCACGCCAGGCACGTGTGCATGCGTGCCCAAGATCCCAAGAGGAAAATGGAGGAGAAAGGGATTGCGGCGTGACCATCCCCCCTTGGGGGTGATTTCTCGCTTTCTGTCTCTATGTCTCTCTCTGTCTGTCTGGCGAGCGCACGCGCCCTACAGTGAAAATCTCTCAAAAAAAAAAAAAAAAAAAACAAAAAACCAAAGACTGTTTCACATATCAATGATGTGTGAAAACACAAATTAAAATCACAACGATATATCACTGCATTTCCACAAGAATACTAAAATGTTTCAGCTGAGCATCTGACATGTGGGACAAAAAGAGGCCACAACCGGACCCTCAGGCGTTGCTGCAGGGACTGGGAACAGTACAACCACTGGGAAACTACTGCAACCACACCCTCTTACTCATCAAGCCCACTCTCAGAGAAACAAAGACATAGCTCCTCAAGGACGGGAACAAGGGTATTCCCAGCAAAATCTGGCTATAATCCAGGGGCATAGAAGAACAGACAAGAACTGTGTTACCTTTGTAAACTAGAATCCCACACAGAACAATGAGAAGATCCAACCACTGAAATACAGTAACTCAGGTGAGCCTCCTGAACTGAGCCAAGAAGCCAAAGGCAGGAGAGTAGCTGCCCCAGGGCTATCTGTACATGAGCAAGGCTCTCTCTACACAAGGCTATCTGTACATGAGCAAGGCTGTCTGTACATGAGCAAGGCTGTCTGTACATGAGCAAGGCTGTCTGTACCCAAGGTTATCTGTACATGAGCAAGGCTATCTGTACATGAGCAAGGCTCTCTCTACACAAGGCTATCTGTACATGAGCAAGGCTATCTGTACACAAGGCTATCTGTACCCAAGGCTATCTGTACATGTGCAAGGCTATCTGTACATGTGCAAGGCTATCTGTACACAAGGATACCTGTACCCAAGGCAACCTGTGCCCAAGGCTACCTGTGCCCAAGGCTGGCTATCTGTACCCAAGGATATCTGTGCCCAAGGCTACCTGTGCGCAAGGCTACCTGTGCACAAGGCTATCTGTACCCAAGGCTATCTGTGCGCAAGGGTACCTGTGCGCAAGGCTACCTGTGCGCAAGGATACCTGTGCCCAAGGATTCCTGTGCCCAAGGATACCTGTGCCCAAGGATACCTGTGCGCAAGGCTACCTGTGCCCAAGGCTATCTGTGCCCAAGGCTACCTGTGCCCAAGGCTATGTCGACGGAAAAAGTAACCAACTGTAAAATTAATAATTAATAATTAATGTGGTTTATTTCCAAGCCAACTGTGAGTGACCTAGGCCCGGAGAAGAGGCATACTTGCCTTTTCTCGGGGTGGTCATGTACAGAGGTTCCTTTTATTTGTTTGAGATTAACAGACAACATTTAGTGAAAAGATTTTCCATTGGTCTGGCCCAAAGAGGCGGAACATGTAGAAGGGGGGCGGGTGGGCTGGTAGGTTATAGGTGGATTCCA